CGGTTGACCGGTTAGGCAAAAAATTTTTTTTTTTTTTAACGGTTTGAACTATTTTTTCTGAACTGTTTGAATCTTTTACTGGTTGACCGGTTGGTCAACCGGCCGGGCAACCGGTTGGTCGACCGGTGTAGCATTTTCAACGGTCAGTAACAGTGATTTGGTAAAATCTGTGTCTTGATCTCAGTTTGATGTCTTGTTTGCTGAATTCTCATTTTGGTATGACTTTGGTGCAACCGTTGGAGCGTGAAAAAGTGGGTTTTTCATCAAAATTCAAATCTGATGCTGGGTTTGATTTACCGTTGGAGATGGTCTAACTCAATTTTAATTAGAAAACGTTTGAATGAGTATTGATTGGATAGAATCAAGTATAATTATGTAAGTTAAAATTGTCGGGATTAGAATAAAATACAAAGTTATATCAATAAAATAGTTGAATTAAAAATTAAAAATTCACACATAATTTTTTTTTAAAAACTGATCTCTTATCATCTCCATTCACATCCTTCACTGACGCCTATTTCTTTTCTTGTCCCATCTGTTTAGCTCGAATTTGAGTTTGTCCAAATAATTCAAGTTTTGGCTTTTTGGGCGATTAGTCGGTCATTTGGACGATCGACCAGAAATAAAATAACAACTACAGTTGACAAGAGTGCAATTGCAATAGGCAACAAGTGTTAAACGATTCAGAAAAACAATCATGATAGAGACCACTAATTTGGTGGCTCTAAATCCATCACTAATGAGGTGAAAAAGTAAAAAAAAAAAACAGACATAACACATACTATGACAATAGATGAAATTAAATGTCACATCATTAATAATAACTCTAATTAGAATTCCCACCCATTTCCCTTCAGAAAAACTCAAATTCAAGTACCAAATACTTTTCTATATTTTTCCGTGCATAATGTTATTGTGGAATGAAGTAATGAACCCTTTCATAACGTGACTCACGTGAACATAAAATAAAATTAGAGCGCATCTGCTAATAGCTCCTCCTAGGACTACCGCTACTAGCCTATACTGTTATGAATAACGGTTCCGATTCGTAACTCGAATTTTCTGTGGCTCGAGTGGCTCAAAATTTCAAAACGACGTCGTTTTAGGATGTTTTTTTATTCTCTTACCGGTAAGATAATATTTTCCGTACCATTCGCGCCATTCGAGCTTCACTTTCTCGAGCTACGGAGCATTTTCCTATGAATAATTCTATTAAATACTAATAATTTTATTAAAAAATTTACTAACAACATTACATATTTTATTAAAACTATAAAAGGCCAAATGTAATTAGTTGTAAAAAAATAAATGATATTTAAATACCTAATAATGTTTGAACATGCACCCACTTTATTAATTCATAAATTTTCCCACATGTACCCACCTTATTAATTCATAATTTTTCTCAAATGTATTTATGTGATAGAGATTAAATTGATAAAGTGTGAGTTTTTTTTTGGATAAATTCCAAGCGAATTTGTAGTATTGTTGATAAATTCTAGCTAGCTCAGGGTGTTGTTTGGGGTTGCAAAGGAGCTGTTAATTTGTGTGTTAGTGCTCAACGTTAGTGTCAAATGTTAACTTGTATATTAATTGCAGTGAGCGATTCAGCCAGCGAAAGAAAGAGAGTTGTGTGCTTGGGAAGTCTCCCGGACGTTCGGACCGTTCAAGAAAAGAAAAAAAAAAAATTGGGTCTGACTGGTTGACTGGCCGATCAACTACAATATTTTTCTTATTTTTTATTTTTTTATTTTTTTACTTGTTGAAATTTTTTTTGGGCTTTTATTATTATTATATATATATATATAATAACACATCTTAACACATCCATTATACTACTATTCACTCTTTAAAAATAACAAACTCTTAACACACATTAACACACTTTTTTGAGCCCTACTTTTATTATTTTTTGTCATATAACACATAACTTAATATAATTTTTAACCATCTCACTATGAAAGCTCTTTTATATTACTCTTAATAAAATAAGCCCCCGTTTGGGAAGTGGGTTGGCTTTTTGGCTTTTTAGTTTTTTTGGCTATTTTAGCCTGGGCTTAAAAGCTTGGTTTGGGAAGGATTTTTTGGCTTTTTTGAAATTTTTTGTGAGAGAAGAATGTAATGATTATGGGTTGGATGTGATATTTTGTTTGTTATGGCTAAAATAGCCTATTTTGTCTTTTGCGGTTAAAATAGCCAAAAAAGCCCAAGAACCAACTTGCCAAACAGAGGCTAAGTTTGTTTGTGAGTAATCTTTTTTTTTTTTCGGGTGATGCCATATAGTGTTACTGGTTTCATTTAACATTTCTTTATATTTATCATAGGCTTTTATATATACATAATAACAAGGCAAACCACAGTATATTCTTAAAGTTAAAAAAAAAGGGAATAATTAGGCTACGTCAATCCCTAATCCCGATCTAAGACCTCACTTTGGGCGAAATATAAAGGCACCATCTGAGAGTTGGGTTGTGTTGATATCAAAATATTTTTTTGCATTGATCGGTCGTCTGCTCAGTTGATTAATGGTTTGATAAAAAGTCAAATTCAATTATTAGAGCAGATGATATCAAATAGAGGAATTCGATATTTTTTTACTTAGATTTAAAAAAATATTTGATAAACCATTAAAGATGCTCTTAATAAAATAAGTTTATTTATGAATATTCTTTTGTTTGGGTGATGCCATGTATTGTTGTTGGTTTCATTTAACATTTCTTTATATTTATCATAGGCTTTTATATATACATAATAACAAGGCAAATCACAGTATATTCTTAATAATTTTTTTCAATTATCAAAAATACCTGTATTGTAACATTGAAAATTTATTTAAACTCGTTTTATTTTAATATAAAATATTATTTTAAGAAATTAATTTACCTATGCTTTGTTATTTGATCAAGTTTGTAAATAAAATATTTTTGAAGTAAAATATTATTCATTTTTGGCTCACCACATGTTAGTGTTCGCTTTTTGATTTATTATTTGACTTCGAAGATTTTTTTTTTTTTAAGTTAAAAAAAGGGAATAACTACGTCAATCCCTAACCCCGGTCTAAGACCTCACTTTAGGCGAAGTATAAAGGCATCATCAGAAAGATTACAAGGTATCGAACCCAAGTTAAAAACATTTTGGATCCGATCCTTCCGCTGAACCAACCCGCCCGTTGGCTAGAATTTTTTTTTTGGTTTTTTGCTCTTCAGCATATAGATAGCATTATTCTTTACATATTAAAAAAAAATTAAAAAATTGCGCTAGAAGTTTTTTTAAAATGTTTATACAATAAAATATTTTATGGAGCCGTACTCGCATCATTTAATAGATTCTTAATAGTTTTCGCAGCAATTGAAGAGCACGTGTATGAGCCCAAAGATCATATATGCCTAAGATTGCCGCCGATTATACCGTCATCCCCTCCTTGACCAGTTTCCCCATCACAATTCAGGATTCACCGGTGACAACTGGTTCTTTAACATTGTTTGGTTGCCGAGAAAGTTGCCCAAAGGAAGAGAAAACTTGATTCCGACTCCAAAACCTCATAATAAATTTGTGGATTTATTGAATTAAAAAATAAAAAAATGAATTTAGAAAGTAGTATTGACTAATCTATTAAAGTAATAGTTTTCAAAAACACTTTTCAAAAAATTCTACTTTCTTATTTTTTGTATTTTTTTGTTTTTACTGAATTTTTTTAAGATTTTAAGTAATTTTTTTTTTACTTTTAGACATACCTAACATAAATATACTTAAAAAGTAAAAAATTTGTGAAAAAAATCTTTTAAAAATTCACTAAATACCAAAAATACAAAAAAAATACGAGAATTCAGTAAATTTTTTATATTTTTATGTATGTATTAAATTTTTAAAATCTTTTTTCACAATTTTTTTTTATTTTTTAGATACATCTAAAGGTGCATCTAACAAAGTAAAAAAAATATTTAAAATTTTAAAAATATTCACTAAAAATACAAAAAATACAAAAATCAAAAAATTAAATTTTTAAAAAATTTAATTCAAAAAACTCAAACCAAAACACTGATTATATTTATACACTTGTTTTTCTAAATTTGCTTCCCCGGGTCCCAAATTAATTCAAAAAACTCAAACCAAACACACCGATTATTTTTTATTATATTTGTACACTTATTTTTCTAAATTTGCTTTCCCGGGTCCCAAAATTCCCAACCCTTTTTTTCCCCCAAGGGACCAAACAGAGCTATAATTTCAAAACCCAGATCTTTCTCACCATCGTTCATTCTCAATTCTCAAAAACTATTTAAACCTACTAAAAACACACATTTATACTATAAATTATAAATAAATAAAAAAAAGTTCAAAAAAACATAATAATTAATACAAGTATAATCACAAGGGACCTGTTCTAATCATCTACCCATGATGATGTCGACAATGGTGACGATGAAGAAGATGAAGAGTTTGAGCAGAAATCAAACCCATTATCATCCAATTTTTCCACGACAAAATGACCCAACAAATCTACAGACTCGATCAAATTCTCTCTGCACAAGAACTCATCACTGCAAATTCTCTCCACTTCCCTATCAAATTCATGAACAAACACATGGGTTTTGGCCGCGCCACCTCTCTTGCTCCTCGCCAGCACGGCGGCTGTAAAAATTGCCGCCATTCTTCCCGGCGCAGCAGCGAAGTAGCCTCTGGGACCGTCCACCAAAATTACATCCCAACCCACTTCGTAGATGTGATTTGGGAGATCGTTGATGCCCAATTTACAGTCCGAGAAGAGCAGGTTCTGCACTGGACGACACTCGTTTCTGAGTTGTTCCCGAGCGTGGTCGATGAGGTTGTAGAGATCGCTCACTCTGGTTGTGAATTGAACATCGTAGGCTTCGATTTCTGGGTTTTTCTCTTCGAGCTTGGCAACCATGTAAGCGCTCTCGTGGACGAACACTGTTCGGCCGCGGTTGTTGAGAGAGTTCCAGAGGAGGGTTTCGTGGGTTAAGCCGAAAACAAGGAAGTTACAGTGAGGGCAGCGGCGGAGGACGGCGGCGATGGAGTTGAGCTCGGCGGAGGACATTCGGCCGCCACCGGAAGTGGTGTTGGAGGTGGAGGCGTAGTGGAGGAGGGCGTCGAAGACGGGTTTGGGGAGTTGAGAGGTGGAGGCGGCGGCGGAGGAGGTGGCGGTGGTGATTGTGGCGGTGGTGGTGGAGTCTCTGGTGGTGATGAGAGTGAAAATGACGGCGAAAGTGAAGAAGGAGACGAAAACGAGAATCCAAATACGGTGAGGACTACCTCCATGCTTGTGGATTGAAGGGTGGAGGACGATCAGCTTTGTGCTTCCCTTCATTTTAGAGAGAGAGCGAGAAAGAAAGGTGGTGATGAGAGAGCGAGAGAGACACAGAGAGACTCAGACCAGGTTTTGGATGATTGACTTCATTTTTGTGGTTAGATCTGATTCTGAACGACTGTGACGATGAGCATTGTTATGAATCCTTCAACTGGCAAGACTTTAGGTTGGAAGAGAAGAGGAGAGAGAGAGAGAGAGAGAAAGAGGAGTCGAGATATCATTGGGCATCTTTATTTTTGGAACAATCGCAACAACAACAACAAAAATAAATATTTTTTAACAAAAATAAAATTTTCATTTTAGCAATTTAAATCTTAATTTATTCACCCATTTTCGTTCGTAAAATAACAGAAAATAGTATTTTAATCATTATACTTAATCTAATATAAAATATTTAAAATATCATTTTTATTGAGTTTAATGATTAAAATTCTCAATTTTTTCATTGATTTTACTTAACAAAAATAGACATATAGACTTAGGGTTGTTTTGGGAAGATGGTAAAAAGTGACTTTTTTACTTTTAACTAAACTTTTTGGGAGTGATTTGGGAAGTTAGTAAAAAGTTACTTTTTTTTTTGAGTTAATATTTATTTATGGTGTCACATCACACCAAAATGACTAAAATAACCTCACCAAACTTAAAAAAATTACATTTGACCTAAATCCATAAAATGTTAATATTGAGGGTACTTATGTAATTTCTTAACCTACTTTTTCTACTTGCCAAATGAGTTGAAAAACGCAACTCTGCGTTTTGCTCCAAAACGCCAACCTAGCGTTTTCAGCCTTTCCCAAAAGAGCTCTTATTTTGAAAAGTAAGTTAAAAATTGATTTTTTTTGATTTTTTTGGATTTTTAAAAAAAATAAAAAGGTGATATAACTTAAAAAAAATTAAAAAGTAAAAAAAATTGACTTTTAGCCGAGTTTTCAAAATAGGCCATAGTTTAAATTGAAAAATATTAAAAAATTTCGAGTTTAAATTTATAAAATAAAAATTTTAAAATTTATTTTATTATAAGACACACACTTTAATTATTTATTTATATTTTTAATTTACCCTTCATTTTCTGTTTGGATTAGGGAAGAACATAAAACCAATAAATGAAGTTGAGGAAGGGCGAGAAAAATGACTAGATAGTAGTTAGCTTAGCCTTAATTTGGGATGTGAGTTGACTTTTTAATTTTTTTAGTTATTTTAATTTGAAGCTAAAAAATTTCATTTAGAATGAACTTTTTAACTTTTGTAAAAGAAAAAATAAAATAATTTTAATTTTAATATAATATTTTATCTTATTAATATTTTAATTTATTTTATCTTTTTTTAACTAATTAAAATAAAATAAAATAAAAAAACCAAATTAGCCAACATCCCCTATACTACATGCGTCTACAGAAAACTGCGACGAAGCGTTAATCAAATATATTGAAGAAAAAGGAATGGATAACTTGTCAATTTCATAAAAGAACATCTAGACCGGGTATGGACAACTTGTCAGCTCCATAAAGGAACCTCCGGCTGGGTACAGATAGCTTGTCAATTCTATAAAGGAACCTCTAAACCGAGAATAGATAACTTACTTGAGCCCTGGATACTTATCAGAATTTGGACAATCATTCATTATACAGAACATAACATTTCATAGAATATATCTTATTTCATCATACATAAAATAATTAGAGTTAAACATAGCTTTACTAAATTATTACTCACAGATGGCTCCAAAGCAAACAGGCAGAATGGGCAAATCAGACGTCTTGTGGCGTGTGACCTACACAGTTACAGAACGAACACATACTAAATTACACACTTGGACTCATTATCTTAATCCTTTCTTATCTTGGTGTCAACTAAAATAGCCTCGAACCAACCTCCCCCCTTTTAGCATTGTAATTGTAGAATATGGCGTTAAAATCAGGTTAATCAAATATATTGAAGAAGTAGCCAATAATTAAGTGGGAGGGAGGTGGCCATTTTCAGTAAACAGGCATGAAATAAAGGATCTAAACCCAGGTGAGTGGCATCTTTGAGCTATAGCAATACATGCTTCAATTTCCATTATCTACTCTTACATTTTCTTTTCTTTTTAATTTTTTTAAAATGTAATTTATCCATCTATTTCATATCCAGGCAATAAACAAACACTACTCCCATGTACAAGTTGGAATTTTCAATTCCAAATTTGTGTTTCAAATCTTTTTTTCACTCCTCATGTGCTGCCACCTGTCCTTTGTTAAAAAAATAAAAATAAAAATAATCCCGCGCAACAAATGTATCTCAATCACATATCAGTAATTGAAATGGATCTAGGGCATTGCCGTTGATGCCATGGCATAATTTTCGATCACTCTCCATGAATCCATCAAATCCATGGGATTTTTTTAAATGTAAAAAAACATTTGAGGATATCTAGAATCGATAATTTTACCTAGTGTGAGATTTATAATACCTCCCTCAATTTAGATTCATATCTTTTATCAAATTTAAATTTGGTGAAACGATATTCTAACTGTTTCACTAAATTAGTATAAAATGAAGAGTCATATTTTTTCATCAAATTAAGGGAGTGTTTAACTTGTCATCAAATTTCGCAGGCAACCGGTTGTCAAACCGGTTGAACAACCAGGCGAACAACCGAATGGACGACTGAATTAGGGAAGATTTGATGAAAATTTACATTAGGCCGGATGACCGATCAAACGACTAACCAAATTTGATGAACGATTAGAATGCATCATATCAAATCAAACTTTTATTCAAATTTAATAAAAAATTTGAGTAAGCGCTGAACATACTCTAAGGTAAACTATTATCACGATCCAAACCCGTCCCTATAGGTTTAACGTCGTAACTGGCCAATAATCCTTGAATTACCAAAGGCCTCTTAACAGAATGACATATAATAAGGGGCTGCGGAAGCAAATATAGAAATATACATTGTCCATAGAGCTATATTAAAGCACATGAGACGGTAAGCTTTAAAACAAACTTATATATAAATATATAACGTCATAAATACATTAGTCTTATGTCACCAAAGCCATAGATACAGAACTTTCAAAACATGTTCAGACAAAACATAAATATCAGAAAGTACAAAAGTTCCAAAGACTCAAAAACTTGATCATATCTCAAAAGGGAACCTCTACGGGAGGCACGATGACTAGCTGACTTCAAAATTCGCCAGGCAGCAACTTAAGTCTAGTCACGCGCCTACTCAACTATATACATAACATAAACGGTGAGCGAAAGCCCAATGAATAATAACAGAGTAAAGGGTTTGATGAATAATGTCCATAACATATTCAGAAATCAGAATTCATATTAGAAACAGATTTATATTCATATTTTTGTTCAAGTCAATGACAAAAATCAGAATACATACTTAATCTTACATCCATTAGCGCTAACAGATCACATACGGGGCATCGAAGATCATACTTGTCAGTTTTATAAAGGAATGGATAACTTGTCAATTTCATAAAAGAACATCTAGACCGGGTATGGACAACTTGTCAGCTCCATAAAGGAACCTCCGGCTGGGTACAGATAGCTTGTCAATTCTATAAAGGAACCTCTAAACCGAGAATAGATAACTTACTTGAGCCCTGGATACTTATCAGAATTTGGACAATCATTCATTATACAGAACATAACATTTCATAGAATATATCTTATTTCATCATACATAAAATAATTAGAGTTAAACATAGCTTTACTAAATTATTACTCACAGATGGCTCCAAAGCAAACAGGCAGAATGGGCAAATCAGACGTCTTGTGACGTGTGACCTACACAGTTACAGAACGAACACATACTAAATTACACACTTGGACTCATTATCTTAATCCTTTCTTATCTTGGTGTGTTACTACTTCTTATCCTCATTATTATGTTTTAATCTTGGCCTAGGAATTCCTAGAATGTAATGAGGATGCTAAAATGTACTTGGAGACACTTAACAAAATTTGCTGAAAACAGGGGTCTCGCTTGAGCGCAATTTCCTTCGCTCAAGCAGATATGCAAAATATAAGTGGTCGCTCGAGCGCAACTTCTGCCGCTCGAGCCATCTGTAAACATCTGCAAAAGTACTAGTTGTGTGATTTTTACGCTTGACAAACGCTCGACAGTCGCTCGAGCGTGAGAGTCAAGTCTTCGCTCGAGCGCAACCCTTGTCGCTTGAGCGGTCTTCAAAAATGGTAAACTTCTTGGAGCATGCATTTCATGCTCGAGCTAACTTTAGGTTGCTCGAGCGGAAGTACACACACTCAGAGTGGTCGCTCGAGCGTAGGTTCCTCCACTCGAGCATAGGAACAGAATTCTAGAATTTACAGATTTGCTCCCAAGCTCAAAGCTCCAATTCTAAACTGAAATTCACGATCTTTAGACCAAAAACTGAAGGAAACTAGTGTGAACATGCAAAACAACTTGAATTCAAAATCAATTCACAAAATCAAGGCCCAAAGATAAGTCAATTATACAAAACCAAGAACATAACTTGAAGATAACATGTATGAATTGATATGAACTTAGGTTCTTCAAAACATGATCAATTAAGGTCAAATGGTAAGAAATGTTATGAATTCTCTAAACCAACTCAAGAAGGACACATGCATACTCAATATGCTTTGATATATGCATGCATGCATGACATAGATCAATTCTCTTCATTTCTAGCTAAATTCTTGCATTATCCATCATAATTCTCTAGAGTTCATATCTTACACATTGTAATTATACAATCTAAAGGTTGAATTCTTACCTAGGCTTGTCAATGATGCTTTAGATGATTAATTGTTAGAAGTTCCAAGCCAAATTCTCTACGTTCTCTAGCAATCTTCTTAATTTGAGCTCAAACTTCTCTTTTTTCTCTCTCTTACATTTGGTTTGTATGTGAGCTCAAAAATGTGTTGAGATGAAAAAAAGAATGAGTGAAGGCATATATGGGAGCCTTATATAGGCTTGGCCAATGGTTTAATTAAATTGTTGATCAACTAATCAATTGGGCATTAAATTATTCTAATTTAATCGTTCCGAATTGAATTTTAATTAAACCTATTATAATTTTTCAAAAATCCTAAATAACACATAAATCAAGTCAATTTTGTAATCAGATGCCGATAAGGCCTTCAATTCGTAAAACAAAACAGAAACAGATATTTCTATGATAAATAGATATAAGCACATTAATGCAACACACACATGTAATTAATTCAGAATTTCACCTTAATTACTGATTAGGCTTA